TTTCCTTTAAAACTAGATTCACGGAACCCGTCAAAATGGCGGGTCACTAATTTCTTAATTTACGACTATTCATATCGTAAAGATACATTTATGAGTTATTTATTCAATTCGTATATTACTTACGGCAAATATTACAATAACACTCGATAAAAATCCGAATAAACAGCCTCACTGTTACTTTTATAAACTAATATAAAACAGCTGTTTTTTGTGCTCCGTAAATCTAGTGTTAACCATCGTTCCAAAAGGCGTCCGTCCACCGGCATGAGCCGTCCAAAAATTAATTATCTCCCCGAAACAAGGGACAAACGGCCGGCTGATAAACAAAAGCTGCGCGCCGACATTCGCGCGGCTTAATTAATATCGGCAGAGAGCGGAGGAGGCTCGCGAGAAGAAGGCCTCGAATCAAAGGGTGCCCCGTCAAAAGAGTCCGCGGTTCGGTGCTCGTGTTTCCCGGCAGGCTCGCTGCTCCGCCGAAGAATCGCGGCGAGAGAAAAGAGCGTGGGCGTCGCATGGAAACGAGTGGAGGCACGAATGCGCCGGGAAATATAGAAGGCTCGCGGAGAAAAGACGCGCGAGCCGGGCTCCGATGTCACGAGAACGGAGGGGGCCGTACGTACACGAGCAGCGGCCGGGGTAATTTTCTCAGTCACGTACGGCCGGCTGTGTTTCGGTCGGTGATACCAACCAACAACCCTCTGGCAACACAACCGGCCGCAAACCAACCCTTAGCCGCGCGCGACCCGCCGCGCGACCTCCAACCAGGCTTTTTGTCTCCGTCGCGTCGCCGACTTCCGGCGTGCACGAAGAAACGCGGATACGTATCCGGTTTCGCGAGACCTGCCTTCTGTGGAATCGAATTTTCTGCCGCGAAATTTATGCGACCGCACGGACGATGCGCGCCGCGGACGTCCGCACCTTGTCCGAAGTATTTTTGGTAATCGGAGACGCTGGAAATTGCGAGCTCTTTCTGGACGCAGGGATCAGAGAAGGTTAAGTAGGATTAATTGTGTTTTGTTCTTATTGAAATTAACTAGCGAATCAAATAAATTGAATTACAAATTCTGCGAGATCAATGGTTGATCATTTTAATAAATTATTTTATAAACCGTCCGGATCAAGTTCAATTAATAGCAATTTTGTTTTATCCGAATCTGCGAGCGAATGAAGCAAACAGCTTCCTAATTCACTCGATATTATATTGATTAAAAATTCAGCAAGATCGAAGGTAGATAATTTTAATAAATTATTTTATAAACCGTCCGGATCAAGTACAATTAATAGCACTTTTGTTGTATCCAAATCTGCTAGCGAATGAAATAAACAGCCGCTCCATACACTCGACTTTATATCTCTTAAAAATTCCGCAGAAACCCATGCTAACAATTGAAATGAATTTCTTTTTAATAATTATTTTCCATTATGAAGAATGAGCAAGCGTCTTGAATCGACAAAATAATTCCTTGCGACGATCAATATATTAACGCAACGAATTTTTGTTAATTTTCGCACTCCATAGAACCGCACTTGCCATAAACGATCCGTAGACTATAACTTAGCGAACTATGAAGTGCACTTACGGCATAGTAATTTTTGCCGCACGATCAGGCCGATGCGGATTAAGTTCGCCGGCCGATCTCCCACGAGCGCCGTGCCCAATTAATATCGCGACGCTGTCGTCCCGTCAACGACGCTAATTAAGGATTACCGCTAATCGAGGCACGCCTCGTCGCGGCACTTTAAAAAGCCGGCGGAACGAGCTGGTCGCATCGTCGGTTCCCGAAGCACACGCGTCCACCCATCCGTCTTCGTTCCGTTCTCTCGATCCATTACTCTCCGACCATATTCGGTGTCCCGCGATCGCTCGATCCTTCCTCCGCGCGAGTTTTTCGGCGTCGCGCGGCGCGGCTCGGCGGTGGATCTCTCGCTGGTTGAACGGACGGGACCGTGCCACCGCCGGTATAATCGATTGGAAACCATAATTGGAAGCCGGCAGCGCACGTGAAACAATTAATTAGACCTTAATTAGCGCACGGCCCAGTTTCAAAGCGGCGACGGCCGCGCGGGGAAACCGTCGGCTCTCCGGCGTCGTCGTGTTACCCTCGAAAACTCGTCGAGGAAGAGATAAAGGGACGGCTCTCGTCCGTCCTATTTAATCCCTTCACCCGACGCTGACGGCGGAGACCTTATCGCCGTGTAATTATCCTCGCGGCCCGTAAAATACGATACGGCTAATTCGCCCCGATAAAGTTAATTATCTCGTCCGCTGCCGCGACGCGACGCGACGCTCGAGAATTCTGAGACATTCTCCGCGCCGCCCGGGGGATTCCGGCTGAAAACCGCTGGAAAATTCACACTGCACGTCTACCGGGGTCTTTTGTGACTTCGCTGGCTGCGATCGCTGCCCGATACAAAGGAATATATCCGAAGTTACCGCCGAAGACACTCCGGAGCCCGAATCGCCCTGCCGATCTCCTCTGCTTTAGTCAGTTTTTGAACGGGCAAGCGTATCTCGCCTGTGCGCGTTATTTTTTGCAGCAGCTATTCCGCAGTGGCAATCGATAATTTTCTTGGTTATTATACTGGGGAATAGTCCGCGTGTTTTCTTTTTGGGAGCGATCCATTTTTAAGGGATAGAAAGGATATAGAAGGGCGGGAAATGTATTCAAGAGCAATTTATTCAAATGTATTCAACAAGCAATTTTTATGCTACGTCCTCTCTTTTTCGGTGGACAATCGTTCTTTTTTTGCTATTTTTTGATATCTAGCTCGAACAGCTCCATTTCCGGCGCTCCCCTTTTGCAATTTGATCGCAGTTTTGCTTCGCAAAAATGATTTTTATCGGCATTAATGCTCGTAAGATAGTTTCTCTTGCTTCGAGGAGTACGAACAATGGGGTGTTCGGGGGAACTTTTTTGTTGCAAGTATTTTGATTGTAGGAGTAACGTTATTGGCCTCGGATTAAAGCTTGAAGAGTCTACTTGAAGATAGGATAATTTTGATTTCAAAAGACACGCGGGCCTGATTCGAGGAATTCAACGAATGACTGCTGCTGATTCGGAAGAAAATGGTTCGATTCTTAGGGAAAAACTCTAGTCGATTTTAAGTTGTATTCCCGTTGGAATATTTTGACGTTGTTAGACTTGAACTAAAGCTTGAAGACTCCGCTTTAAGATAGGTAGACTTCGGTTAAATAATAATAGCGGGCACGTTTCAAAAAATTGAAAATGTCGGACGGTCTCTGAAAAAATGACTTAATTATAAAGTAAAACTACCAGAGTCGATTTTAAGTTCTATTCCCGTCGGAATTTTTTAACGTTATTAGCCTCGAATTAAAGCTCGAAGACTCCGCTTCAAGATAGGTCCACTTCGGTTAAAAAGTAATCGCGGACACGTTTCAAAAAATTGAAAAATATCGAACAAAACATCTCCGAAAAAATGACTCAATTATAAAATAAAACTTCCAGTCGATTTTAAGTTCTATTCCCGTCGGAATTTTTTAACGTTATTAGCCTTGAATTAAAGCTTGAAGACTCCGCTTTAAGACAGGATCACGTCAGTTAAAAAAATACTCGCGAATTTTTGAAAAATTAAGAAATCTCGAACGACGTCTCGCAGAAAAATGTCTCGATTTTACAGGAAAACTTTCAGTCGCGATTTAAAGTTGTTCCAGCACCAAACATTTCCGACTTCCTTCCTTCTACAATCGGACTGATTGTAGAATAAAGGTGAACATCGTCCGGGAATTATCGTGCCCTGCGCAACTTCTGTTCCCCGATTGCTCGGTTCACCTCGATTGTATTATCCGTCGGCATTACCGTATAATTTAGGTGCGCTTTGTTTCGCGCGAGAATGCACGAAGTTCGGCGCTGAGCTCACCTTGAGGCCGGGCCATTGGACTCTGCCACGTCGATACAAATTTCGTGAAGCGATGATGCAGCAGCTTCGCGCCGGAAGTTCGAGCAGCTTCGAAGCGGCCAAGCTGCTTCCCCGGCGCTCCGCGTCGTCGCTCCGGACTAGATTTATCGTCGACGCCGAAAAGAAACACAAATCTCGTTCGAAAAGACGGTCTCGAACCGTCTCGAATCGATGATACCGGGAGCCCGGTCCGTAATTGGATCGCCGCTCGTTATTATTATTGAACCGTGACGTTTTTACAGAGCGGCAAAACGAGGAAGCGGAACGGGAACATTGTTTAATTTGCCGGATGATAAATCGCTCGGTCGCTGAAGCGGAATTCCCTTCGGTCCTCGGTTTCCCAGAAATAATCTACGGAGCCGGGAATTTGCATGAATAATAAATTGCGTACTAAACGTCAAGTTTCCAACAGTTACAGAAACATAATGAGAAGCTTCTCCTAACTGTCGGAACAGAACCCGTTCGTTCGAGGTTGCGCGATTCGCAAAAATTCGTCGCGGCTTTCTGGAGAACTGTTCGCCAAATCTCATTCGTTCCTCGAGTCGATTGCGTTAAGTTCGCTTCGGAACAGTCGTCGCAAGTGCAGTAATTTCTCCCGGAAATGTTCGGAGGTCGGAATTGAAACCGGCAGATCTGAGAATACCAAGTCGCGATTCTCCGAGTCTCGCGAATATTAGCATAATTACGAAAACTTAATAATGCTAGAATAAAAACGGCGACTTAACTATTTTATTTCTAATCTTTTGCCACGATTCGAAGTGCAATTCGAAGACCCAAACTGACCATTTCGTGTCGTCAATAAATTACATAGATGTAGAACTAGCACAGGAAAATTCGCGGCAACCCAAAATTTGGCATTTCTGGGAGAAATTACTATACTCTAAGATAGTCGTTAAAATCCTCTCTGCATCAGAGCATTTTCAACAAATCTGATCGACGTTGAAACCAAAATAATTGCTTTGTCTTCAACTGCGCACCCGTGTCGCCGGTTCACCTTTCCTAATTTTGTGAAACGAGGGCGGAGAAGGGGTTAATGTAAAGTCCATGCGCCTTTCTCTGACAAAATGTTCGTCTGGTTGCAGCTGCGCGAGTACACGCTGACGGAAACGTATCACGAGGACGACGTCGAGGTCGAGTTCATCAGCAACGACAATCTACTTGGGAACAGCCCGACCTCCAGAGGGATCGATCCGAACCGGGACCTGAACGAGGCGATCGCCGAGGAGCGGAAGGAAATGGACACTCAGCGATACAGGTACGTTTCTGTCCGCTCCGAATCTCCCGGCCGAATCCCCGCGTCGATAAACTCACGGCCGGGGAGACAAAGGCGACAGCTCGGACTCGCGATAACTCAAAAAGTACCTAAAGACCTGCGACAACGGGAGAGCCGTGCAAAGCCGTCGAACTCGCGCAAAAGGACAACAACGGCCCGGCCCGCAACACTTCGATAAACCTGAAAACCTGCCGGCAAAGCTTGCCGATCGAAGCGCGAAACGTCATTGGTTGAAAAAGGTTTGCGCGCGGTGAATGACGGTGAAAGAACTCGACCGAATCGTCTGGTCCGTGCTCGATTCTCCCGAGGAACAATGCCGACGGGGCTGCGCGAAAAATGGGTCGTCTGCCGGAAATGTTCGTTAACCGGCGTGTAGCGTCGACGTGGTCGCAGGAAGGGACCCGTCGAACGAGTGCTGGCATAAAGGACAGCCAGCAGCGCGATGGCAGGCTTGGAACCGCGACAATGTCCGAGGGGGGGAACGTATCTCGAAAGGAGCCCTGGAAATGGGCCGTCGCCGAGTCTACCAGCCCTGAAAAGATAGCCCCTTTTGGCTTCGCGAGAGGAGTCCCCCTCGGTTGAGAGGCGGTCGGAGGTCTATCCGGCGTTTGCTTTTCCCTTTGCTGCCAGAAGACTCCCTCTTCCCCCCTCTCTCTCTCTCTTATATTATTTATTATTATTATATAATAATAATATATAATAAATATATATATATATATATATATATATATATATATATATATATATATAAATGTGGTTTGAAATAACAGGTAAATGATTGACGCTATGAGAAAAGAGTAGGAAGAAATTTCATATAACAACATATTCTATGAACAAGTAAATTAAAAAGTCAGAAAAGACCATTTTCATCTATTGCACAAAAAAATATTCTTTTTACGACTTGGAAAGTTATATCAAAGTCACTTGTGAATAATGAATTCGTGTAATTGAACTCGTTTTTCTACGCTTTTCCATTGTAACGAAAAACAAGGATCCAACATTCCATTTAAAAGAATTAAATTAACCTTCAAATAAGCTTGAAATATTTAGTAAAAAAATTTTTTGTTTCGCGTTAACGCATTCTACGTAAAAAAAAACATACAAAATACATTTGACGCTTCTTTCGCGGAGTAAACTATCAGTAAACTGTCTATCGTAGAGTAAACTATCTAATCTGTATTACTATCTCGTCGTCTTCCTCTCTCTTTCTTCCCCTCTCACTCTCTTCCTTCCTCTCTCTCTCTCTCTCTCTCTCTCTCTCTCTCTCTCTCTCTCTCTCTCTTTGTCCGTGGCACTCTTCATATCGTTACCGGTTCCTTCCTCCGCTAGCTGCCTCGCTCTATTTCTCTCTTTCACTTTTACGATCTAGCCGGTTTCATAGCACAGCCAAAGTTCGTCTTCTTCCGTTCCCGACCTCCCAGGCAGAAGCGCGACCTCTTTGTGCCTCCGCCGCGAGAAACGCACCCGGAATCGCAGCTTTTCCCACATTTCCGCAGGAAACGCTGCGGAGGCCTTCGAACACTTGCCCGCGAAGACGTTTTTAGAGGATCCGCCTCGGGAGCTCGGAAACTAGGCCATCTGCGACTTCTGAACCTTTGCACCCTGGCGATATTGAGATCGCTTTGAGGGTTCGAGACAATGGGACGTTCAGGGAATTCGTTCTTTTTCTAGCCGTTGATGGAGAGCATGATCCAATAAATCGCGCATACCGGAACGCGAACTCTTTTAGCGCCATTTTGGATCTTGTCGCCTCCTCGACTGTCCGATAGCTTTTTTACCTAGGGAGCAGCATTTACCGTGATCGAATGTATTAGAAGAATAGATAAATAGAAGAACAAATAAAGAAAGAAAGAAGAATGAATAAATAAAGAAATAAATAAAAAAGTAAATAACGTTAGTGGTCTTTTATTAGAAATAGCAAAGTCTGCCCGAAAACAGGATAGCTTCGGTTTAAAAGAACTCTCACGAATTTATTTCGAAAAATTGATAAAAACCTTGCACGATGTCTCGAAAAGAACGTCGAGGATAAAAATCGATATAAAGTTATATTCCCAAGGGACTTTTAGCATTTTGATTGGAACTAAAGCTGCAAGAATTTACATTAAGATCCGAATTTACATTTACATTCGTTCCAAACGGGTCACGGGTAACTTTGAGCGAAGCGAAGAGATCCCGCGCGACAAAACCGTCCGAGAAACAGGCTGTCGCTCGTTGTCAGCCATTTCTCATGATTCCGCGGCGCAAAGGATGCCGCAGACTCGTGCAACGAGGTTCGCTAAAACGAAGCTTTGACCGAGGAATAAAAAGCTCCTGGCACGGTCGAGAACGCGCCGCGGCGGTTTCGTTGGTCCGGCGTCAGAAAAATCGAACTCGGGCGCAGATCCGTGCGGCGCGTATCGACGCGGCGGATTTTCGGGGAAACGCGGGCGACGACGGGCGCCCGATGAAATTTGTCGGTCGGACAGCACAGGGAATTGTTTCGCGGCGGAGCGTTGCAGCGACAACCGTGAAATATCATACGCCGGTCGCCGGGGTGCGGAACTTTTAACCAAATTGGAGCGTCGGCGAATTTGTTTTTTATTACGCGGCTTATAGGAAGAGCGGGCCGCCGGTGTTCCGGGGACCGCGACGCCCTCGACGTTCCGTTTCGTATTTTCGGGGAAAAGCGCGGGCGCGGCTCGCCCCGGGCCACCCTGTGTCCGAAATCCCGCGGCGGAACCGCCGGCCGAGTTTCCTCGAAGACAGCGTCGGCCATTTCGCCGCGGCCGCGAAATATTAATAAAAGACTCCGCGGATGTCGCCGAGTTTCCCGACGGCTGAATGGGCCGCGTTATTTACACGGCTATAATAATCCATTGAAGTGGCAACTTCAGAAACGGCGTCCCGGACCGACGGCCGGCCGAACAATGCCGACGTCGCCGATGAAGAAGCCTGTTATTGGACGGCCAGCCTGGACAATGGGCCGACTAGTATCTTGGACGACCGTGGAACGAAGTGGGCCAGTTATTCTTTCGAATTGAATGGTCGCGTGCAACGGTGACCCTCGGTGTCGAACAAAACCTTGGAATCGTTAAAATGCTGCGCCCCGACCGGCTCCTTCCGATTAGCCCTTAGCGCTCCGAAGTCTCCGCTACGGAGACGTTTGTCATTTGTACCGTAACTTCGAAGGCTCCGCTGCGGAGCCAAATGTTTCTAGCATACGTTATCGTCGGCGTTAGCAATTGTTATCTGTAGTTGAAACGTGCCAAGTCCGTACCATTACGATTAAACCATTTTTTGACCTTTTCTATGGTTAGCAACATGGAGAAAAATAAATATTACGATGAGAATTTAGAGCCGAGTGATACCGAAGACGTGTTTGATTTTGAAGAGTTAAAAGACATTGTGGAAGACAATGTTGGTTATGATTCTGACACTTCAAGTATTAGTAGCGAAATCATACTACCAAAGAGACGAAGAATGAGAATTATTGAAAGCGAAAGCGAAGATTCGTTACAAGACTTGGATGAATGGCGTGATGTTAGGGAAGAATTACATATTCCAGATAGAATACTTTTTAGTGTATTGCCACAGGTCATTGAACCACACGTTTCTACAAACATTGAACAGTCGATACAATATTTTAAATTATTTTTCACGGACGAATTGGTAAATGAAATTATAAAGGAAACCTACAATTGCGCAGAAAATGTTCTAAACTTGAAAGAAATATCTAGTAA